AGGAGGAATTGGAGAATTGAGCTGGTATTTGATCTCCATTTATTTTGAAGGCTGTGCAGAAGAAACAATTAGTAGAGTTCATGATATGATGTGGTAGGATCAGATGCATGAAAATAAAAATACATAAAATTGTTCAACATTTTTCGTGTTTTTATAGACCTGAGATGCTTGAAATGACTAACAAAAATGACTGATGGCTTGTGGCGAATTGGCATAGCAGAGATCATTTTTCTTATGGAAGATGAAATGAGTTTGAAGTGAGTGGGTGTAAGATGGCCTGTTTCTGGAGCTGAAAATAGAGCCGATCTCAACAACACATCTCCTGTTGTCTGTACACAGAGAGGTTGTTTGCATACGAGCCTATTTAAGAGAAAGTCAGATCGTGAAAGAAGCTATTCTTAGAAAATTTTATATTCTTTATTTTTATTTAAAATTAACAGAGTTCCTCAACATTTACTCACTCTCAAGTGGTTCTGAATGTTTATTTTCAATTTGAACGTGAAACAAGAAAGATATTCTGAAGAATGTTGGGTAAAATATATCAACATCCATAGTAGGATCTAAAATACACTGTAAAAATGCTGAGTTCCAAACAATTCCCTCATGTTGTCTCAAAACAAAGGGATTAAAAGGGCACCTATGATAAAAATCATCTTTTGTAAGCTGTTTGGACAGAAGTGTGTGTATGTATAGTGTGTCCATAGTCATATTGGAGTGATAGAAACACAAGAAGTCTCTTTTACAATTTCCTGACAATAAAATAGGATCCAAATCCCAGGGATTTTGAGGCCCACCGCAATGTGACGTAGGAATGCGGTTCTCCCAGCCCACCGAATTGATTGACAGGCACCATGTTTCTGTAATAACATGTCTAAACATGTCCATAGAACATTCTTTGCAAAGAAACTGTGATTAAAATATCTATTTAAACTCTGTGATCAGTTGCTTCTCAAGAATTAGTTTAAAGTGTTTAAAATGTTTTCAAATAAGAGCATGTTAGTAATAAAAACAATAAAATCGCTATCCAACTCTTAACCGCTATAATCACAACCACATGGTGTCAGCAAATGCATGTGTGCGTGTGACTCATCATTTCAGAAAGGCTTGAATACACTCCACCACAAATACATTAAATCAACTTACTCTGTATTTTTGACTAATGAGCTGTAGTTTGGCTTCATCCTTGTCTGTCCCTATTTCTGACTGCTGTTCATCTGATGTTAGGCATGAGAAGCAGACACACACGTGGCAACTGTGGGCGGGGAGAAGTAGAAGATTTGCATTTAAAGCCACAGGCTACAAAAACAGCTACAATGTCCCCAGGCACCAAAAAGAACAAATTCTGCATTGTATAATAAAAAAACTGATGGGAATTTTAAGCTGGAACTTTACAGACACATTCTGGAGACGCCAAAGGCTTATCTTAAATCTTATAAAAGGAGTAAAATAGGTACCCTTTAAGTTTAATTAATAGTTTTTACCATTGTAAGTGGATTGAACGTGGAACAATTAAGTTGTTCCCCACAACAAGCCAAAATTGTGTTGATTCAGCTAATTTTAAATAAAGAGTTTGAACCATTAAAACTCATTTTTAAAAAATGTACTAGAAGCCATTAGCTGTTTTTTTTTACTGGATTTTCATTCATTCATTCATTTTCTTGTCGGCTTAGTCCCTCTATTAATCCAGGGTTGCCACAGAGGAATGAACCGCCAACTTATCCAGCAAGTTTTTACACAGCGGATGCCCTTCCAGACACAATCCATCTCTGGGAAACATCCACAAACATATTCACACACACACTCATTCACTACGGACAATTTAGCTTACCCAATTCACCTGTACCGCATGTCTTTGGACTGTGGGGGAAACCGGAGCACCCGGAGGAAACCCACGCGAAGGCAGGGAGAACATGCAAGCTCCACACAGAAACGCCAACTGAGCCGAGGTTCGAACCAGCGAGCCATATGCCTCGCCCCTACTGGATTTTCAATTAAACTCAAATACGTCTAAAACAATCAGAGGATGAGTAAATGATGACAGAAGGTAATTATCTGCCTATATAAGTATAAATAGCATAACACTACACAAATCTTTTATTTTTGGGTAAACTGTTCATTTAACTTTTCGACTCAAAAAGCTATGATATAACTGCTAGAATTCCATGATATACAGCTATGAATTAATCTAGGGTTTGTATACTAATATACTGCAAACATTAAAACACCCCTGTTCTGGCAATCTTTTTTTAGCGCTGAGCTCTGAAGAACCCAGTGTGTTCATTTGCATGTTGGCTTGACTGCATGCGTTCTGCTGTATAGCGGAAGTGAAAATGCTTTCCACGCTTCCTCTGTGTTGCTTCTGCGAATGTGAAAAAAAAGAATCAGGAAGTGAGACGTGGGGGTTAATACAAACTGAGACGATGGAGGTTTAGATGCAGCCAATTTTGGCTTAAAACACTTTGCTGTGCCTTCGTTATCCCACGCATGTGTCAAATTATCATGGCCTTTAAATGTGTTGCCATTTTAATGTATGAAACTTAGCACTTAAAGAAAACAGAGGGCAAAACTACATTTATAAATATATTTGGGATGACTTTAGTCTTTAGTTGTTTCATAAAGAAGGACCGAAGATGATAATTATGTAGAGGAAATATGACTTTCACTCAATGTGTGGTGCAAAAGCTTCCTTGGGGCTCCCAGGGCTCGATTTGGCCTCCCTGTAATGACGCCATTTCATGGAAATGGTGAAGGCTGTGTGGTTTCGTAGCCTAGTTGTCTGGTAGTGTTAGAAATTTGTGCTGAGAAACAGATGCAAAGAACTGATCATTTGAACTGAATGACAAAGTTATTCCAAACGATTTTCTAAAGAAAATATGGTGCCCTGCATAAAGTCTGTTTATGCACAGTGCTAGTGTGATTGTCAGGGAGTTGCTGTATGATAGCTAATACATTTTGAGTGGTTTGTTGTGTATTCCTATAAGTGTCTCTTGCTTGAGTTGTTGGGTTGTTGCTAGCTTTTGGGATTTACAAGTAGTGTACAAATGTAAGAGCAGCAGACGAATACATTTTCTTTTGTTCTAGGAAATTTACATGACCAATTTTACATGCTTTATTCAAATAGGAAAATCTTTCACCTTTTTAGATGACGGGAATTTGTCAGAGAAAATAAGCTAAACAATAGTAAATATGATGCACAATACATTAACGTTGATTTAGGCTTAATAGTTGCTGGATATTTGTAATTGTAAATTACATTCTCAATGCAGAAAAATAAGAGATATAAATGATTTTAAAAAGAGTAGATCTAAATGCCTAGTGGTCATATACTGACTTATGGACTATGAACTTTTTCTAGTAACTTGATTCATACACACACTACTTTTTTAAACTAAAAACTTTAAGTAATCTTTGTCCCCCGAAACATTTAATAGATTGGTAAGTTATTAGTCTGGCTTACAGATGTTATTTCACCAATAATGATGTTTAACCCTTGAAATGAATACAGTGCACAATTACTTTACAAAGGGTATAAACAGATGTCGGAGCCAACTTTAAATGGGTCAGACTTGAGCTCCAAGTGAGCTGTACAAATCTCCTGGATTTTTAGTTTGTTTAATTTCCTGAACATGACACAGAGTTCAACCTATTGTGTTTTATGAAAATCTACATCTACCCCTACCCAAATCCCAATCTCACAGTAACCTGTTGTGTTTTATTAAACTCGATTACACGTACCCCAACCCAAAACTCAACCTCACAGTATCCTGTTGTGTTTTATGAATGCGTATTACAGTTAAACCAACCCTAGACCCAACCTCACAGTGTCATGTTGTGTTTTATTACTGTATATTACAGTTAAACCAGCCCTAAACACAACTTCACAGTATCCTGTTGTGTTTTATTAATGTGTTAAACCAACCCTAGACCCAACCTCACAGTAATCTGTAGTGTTTTATTAATGTCAACACCTACCCCAACCCTAAACCCAACCTAACAGTATCCTGTTTGGTTTTATTACTGTATTTCTTTTAAACCAACCTTAGACCCAACCTCGCAGTATCCTGTTGTCTTTTATGAATGTCTACATCTATCCCAAATATTAAACCCAATCTCACAGTAACCTGTTGTGTATTTTGAACATCTACACCTAAACCTACCTTAAATGCAACCTCACAGTAACCCATTGTTTTAATAATGTCCTTTACACTTACCCCAACCCTAAACCTAACCTCACAGTAACCTGTTGTGTTACACCTACACCAACCCTAAACCCAAACTCACAGTATCCTGTTTTGTTCTATTTATGTCTAATACGCCTACACCAACCCTAAACCAAACCTCAGAGTAACCTGTTCTGTCTTATTAACATCAACACCTAGCCCAACCTCATAGTAACCTGTTGTATTATTTTAACGTCAACCCAAACTCAACCTCACAGTAACCTGTTGTGTTTTATGAACATCTTCACCTACCCAACACTAAACCCAACCTCACAGTAACCTGTTGTGTCTTGTAAACGTCAACACTTACCCCAAGCTCATAGTAACCTGTTGTGTTTTAATAATGTCAACACCTACCTCAACCCTAAACCCAACCTCACAGTATACTGTTGTGTTTTATTAATGTATTATTGTATTAATGTCGGTCACCCAGCCTACTTGTTGTTGAATTCCTCCCACTTGAAGGTCTCCGGTCTGCAGCAATACCTACTTGATTATGTTTTTTGGGGAAAACTAAAACTATCCTAAATGTCATTTTCCTTTTCTAAGGTTTGTAGTTCGTTCATAGTGACTAGACTGACTTTATTGCTGATGGCCAATATCTTCCTTATGTGTGCTGTACACAATTATTTAAACAAAACTTTTCTTCTATTATCCTAATTAGCAGCACATTTACTCCTTAAAATTTCTTAGCGTAGAGCCCATGTTGGAGGAAGCAAATTCTCTAAGTTTGAGTAATATTAACACTTATGCTTTCTAACTAACCTCTGTTGTTCACAGCCACCGCTAGTCCAAGCCATCTTTAACGGAGACCCAGATGAGATTCGTGTGCTCCTATGTAAATCAGAAGACGTCAATGCACTGGTATGAGTCAGTTTCTTCTGCTCTTCTCCTCACATGACTATATCTCATCCCTTTGTTACTTGCAGCACAACAGTCGAGGAATCCCATGGAAAGCTGCCAGAGATTTATATACGTTGGTTTCAGTAAAAGCAACAGGACACAAAATAGTTTTCAGGGTTATTCTTCTTCCAGGATATTTATTTATTCGGCTTGCCTGTCTGTGTCCGCCCTAATGGCTCCAGCAAGAATTAGCTTGCTGTCCGAATGTTTTATGAAGAGCCGCCGGTCACGATTTCAGGCTGGATGTGCAAACAGGTTCAGACAATGGACACGCTGAGATGTCACCACTGCCAGTGTGTGTGCACATTAGTGCTACAGGGATTTGTAAAGACTCCTTTGTTGTGCACCGCTTTGCAATGACAGACAATCAGCATATTCTATTAAGAAGTTAAAAAGTCTTAAAAAGGCCCAATTCTCTGTTAAAACGTTTTGACAAATTTTTATCTGCTCTACAATTCACATTAAATGCTTTTTCAAACTATTTCTTTGTCGAATTCATGCAGCATATTTCCAGTAGAAACAGGATTTTAGAGTAAAACATAAGGATCTTCAGGATTTTCTCAACATTCTGTAGATGTAAAATAAAGGTTAATATGAGTAGCCTATTCTTATTTCTTAAATACACTGTAAAACAAAACTAATCTACGTGTAGGTCTACTGTTGGTTAAAATGCTAAAGTTTGTATAGACTTGCATTGGTGGACTTGACTAGACTTTAAATTTGTCCTGGTTGTTAATTCACAGTATAGTGATGACACCAGAATACAACTATTTATAATTATGAAGTTGAATTATTATGTTTGAGACATTTGTCTCTGACAACATTATTAGACCTTTTTATTCCACTGGTAAAACGAAAAATTTGTCATTATCAGATTCCCTCTTGCATTATATTCAACATTATATAGGCTAAAGTAGTTGTAATATTGACAGTGTTGCACATTTATTCTCATGCACAACACTTTGTATTCGCTATGAAAAAAAAAACATATCAGATGCTTGTTATAATCATAACTGCACAATGCGATAGGATTATTTAAATGATGTGCGTGGTTTTGGTTTCACTTTCACTGGTCAGTGCGGCTCATGTCACGGCTGCTGTCACTTTGGAAAAAATAAAGCATACATGGAAATCATATTTCCCATGCGGCTCCCAAAAGATCACTTTAACTGAACGTTACTTACATCTATATTACCTGTTATTCACAGCCTATGTGAATTACAGTTAATATGTTTGTTCACTAAAAGTTGACATCATTCACCAGCACGCGTGTGTCCTCTCAGTAGTAAACAAACAAAATTTGTGATTTCGCAGCTGCAAATACCTCATAACATTAAGACAGAAATGACATTTTCGGGTTAATTATACCTTATGAATAAAGTGTGTGACACTTTTAACACCATTCGGAGGTGTTTGTGTTGCTGAGCAATATATATAAAACAACGTAAAGATTTGTGCGGCACCTTTATGCTTCGCCCGAACTTGAAATATATTTGGCTGAATGGTACAAATGCTGAATTGAGATCTTGTGGGGGCGTTGAATCATGATCGCAATCTTTTTTCGATTAATTGTGCTGCCCGATTTACATGTGCTAGTTGTGGTAGTTGTTTTTTGCTATAGGTAGTTGTAGATGGTATTGAAAAATGTCTGCAATTTTTCCAGACAAAAGTTATTATAGGTGCAAACTTACTGGTAGAAAATATACCACAATTTAAAGAGCTATTTACAAATTTACTACAATTGTAAAGGGTTAGCAAAAATCCTTGTAAAAATATTAGTAAATGTTTACATAATTGACTGTATTTTAAGCTTTGGTGAGCAAAAGCAGAGCAATGCATTATTTCACAAGCATTTAAAAAACAAATAGGCCCTAAAGATTTGAATGGCAGTCATGCGTTTTTCTTGTGTCATTTAAAATGCGTTTCATTCTGTGCTTGTTTGCTTTGCTTGTAGTTGGGGTCCTAAGCGAACTCACGTGGAGTAAAAGCCACAAAACCTTGATTTGATTCAACATCTTCTTTCCACCATCTCTGTCACCTGTCTCTTTTTCAGGATGCTGAGAAACGTGCTCCCCTGCATGCAGCAGCCTTCCTCGGAGATGCTGAGATCACAGAGCTCCTCATTGTGTCAGGTGTTTCTCTCTCCCTCCATTTCTTCATTACCTCAATTCTATAGTAGCTTTATAGACAACTCTTATAAAAAATGCAGTCCTTTAAAAGATTATGATTACTCAAGCTGAAAATTATGCCATTATCTATTTACAATCACATTGTTTTAAATTCTGTGTTTATCTATTTGGAATTGTATCAACATGAGGGTGAATGACAGACTATTTCTTTTGGGTGAACTATCCCTTTACTGTTCAATTAAACATTCCTCATTTTTTAGATATTAATAGTTTTATTTTTCTCTTTTACTACCTCATTTTAGGTGCACGGGTCAATGCCAAAGACAATATGTGGTTGACTCCACTCCACAGGGCAGTGGCATCACGTAGCGAGGTGGGGACAAACATGTTTCAGTGAGAACCAGATGTGTAATAATGTCACACAGCAGGATGCCTTTACAACAATGCTAATCATATGCAGCAGCTTCTGTGTGATTATAAATTAGGGTTGGGCGATGTTGACCAAGTTGGCATCAGATGATGTCTAATGTGAAACATCGAGATGGACGATGGCATCGTCGTCGTAGGGATGAATTACTTATGAATAATAAATTAATTCATAACAAAATAATAAATTGTAGCCTACTGTTTCAACTACCTGACCAGCTTGGTCTTTGTTTTACCCATAACCAAATCATACATAAATAAAGATAAGTTACACACAAATTACCACTTGACAATCACTTTTTCCGCATGAATAGGCAGAGTGGTCTGTGTCGTTATAATGGCTTCCACAAACTTGGTTGATAAAACAAAGTGCACAACCAACATTATCTGAGGTTTTTGCTAAAATTAGTAAGTACAAGCGTGAAAGCAAAAGATTGAAGCAGTGTACTGATGTTGTGACACATTACCTGATCGTTTCAAAAGACTGAAGAGCCGTTAGATAGAGACAAGATTAATTAAATATCATGTTTAGCAACTATAGTGAGACACAATTTAGCGGTACATCTTTAATAAACTGTCAGATGTGCACTGCTCTCTGGGGTTTTGTGCTCAAAGCACCCACTGACTGCCTGGAGCTCAGATGTGCACGTATGCTAGAGAGCATGACAGCGTGTGTGTGTGTGTGGTCACGTGATGTGCCTTTTCAACGTTATAGTGTGGAAGGAGGGCTGTTCAGAAATGCTAATTGAAATGCCCGTGTGGACGTGATTCGTTTTTGTTCTACAATTCCATTTTAAAACTAAGACGTATTAGTGTAAACAGGATCTAAGTGTGTGTTTATGAGCGGGTTGCTGCTGCGATGGGGGCGGGGTGGAGGATCGAGATGTCGGCTCAGCATCGTGATGTCTATCACACATCAGGGATAGACGATGGCATCGTCTGTCGACCCAACCCTATTATAAATGTATTTTTTTAACCCTTAATTCTGATTGGTCACATATTTTCCTACTGTCCCAATATAATGACATGATTTTCTTGAACTATTTTCAGGAAGCTGTTCGTGTGCTAATTCGTCATTCTGCTGATGTTAATGCTCGGGATAAAAACTGGCAGACACCTCTGCATGTCGCTGCCGCCAACAAGGCCCTGCGCTGTGCTGAGGTCATCATCCCACTACTGAGCAGCGTTAACGTATCAGATCGTGGAGGACGCACCGCCCTGCACCACGCTGCCCTCAATGGGCACACAGAGGTACTGCTAGTTGAAAACAAAATTGTGAAGTCCTTTTCAAAGGTGCACTAATTTCATTTTAAAGCGGACCTGCTATGCCTGTTTTAACGAAATGTTAAATAAGTCTCTGATGTCCCTAGAGTGTGTATGTAAAGTTTCAGCTCAAAATACCACACAAATAATGTTTAATAACTCTTTAAAACTGCCTCTTTTATACAAGAATAGACACACTGAAGACACCCATGATCAAGTAGTCTGGTGTGATGATGATGCAATAGCCCCTCCCCCTAAAATAGACTTGACACTGGGAGTTGATTCCTGTCTTGACACTAGAGAGTCCAGGAATTGACTCTTCTGAAGTTGATTCCCCATGCCTACTTCAGTTATTTTGAAAACAGCACACTGAACATTTACATGTATTTGAATAATTATCCATAAGTCACCATCTTTCAAGATTTATCTCACTTTTCTGGACACTCAAAGTGGTTTAATGAACAGTATAGAGTCCCCATCACTATATTAGGGCATTAGGTCCCACACAGACCACAGATTGAGCCTCCCCTGCTGGCCTCTCTTATATATTTTCCAGCAGTAACCTAATTTTCTAATGTGGTCTCCCATCCCAGATGTTGACCAGTTGAAGCAGTGAGCTAGCAGCCGACATTTTAAAGTCTTTCTGAGAAAACTTCCTGAGCACACAGTCCCTGTTGTTTGACACTAATTGTTGGAAATCCATTGTGGCAGCTCCACTATGGCAATTTTTAGATAGGAAGTCACATTCGCTCTGCTACATACACAATTTCCCACATGTTGTGAAAAATCTCAACAATGCAGAATGGGTTTGAAAGTCATTATATAAACTATGACACAAACACATAGAACACAATAAGGCTTCAGGAGACCTGTAATTACTGACACACTCATGCCTTATTGCCTGTTGAGACTGACACACGCACACTCAGTTTCTTAATGTTATTCACTTTCCTCTCTCTTTTTCTTCAGATGGTGAGTCTCCTTCTGGCAAAGGGTGCTAACATCAACGCTTTTGATAAAAAAGACTGCCGTGCACTACACTGGGCAGCATATATGGGTGAGGGGATGTCCAATAAAACTTGTGACACTCTGCACACACATGCAATGTTTACGCTTCAATTTTGAATTAAGACGCAAAATATTAGTTACCACGGGGCTGTCAATAAAATCACAGCTTATGCAGTCTGTATTCAAATAGGGTGGGTGACATCATGCACTGTGTTTTACAATAATATTGTATATATTTTATTTAGTTTTTGAAGGAATAAACCCTTGATAAAGACTTGTTTTGCTTTTGAATAAATTGTTTAAAGGAATGATTTAATGACATCTAATTTCGACTTCACAGTTCTACATTTATGCAATACAAAAATAGATTTTGTTGATGCTGATTTCATTTGATTGGTAAATATCTATAGTGCATCGTTGTTGTAATTGCATATATTGGTGAAATGTAAAGATGTTACGTGATATACAATATATTGCGTAATATTATATTAATATATAATATTAATATATTAGTAATTATATATATTAAAAGAATTGCCTGTATTAAGATTGAACTAAAAAGGCAGACTTAATTAAATTTGTTCTCATTTGATTTAATTTATTTTTATTTGAATTTAATGTAGATTTTAATTAAATTTAATTATATTGGTTTTGGAATTTAATTAAATAAAGTTTTTTTAAATTTTTTTTTAAATATTTTCAATTTAATTAAATTTATATACATTTAAATCAAATTAAATTGAATTGGTTTTGGAATTTAAGTTAATATAATTTAATTAAATTTTTAATATAATAAAAAATATTTAATTTAATTGGGTTGTATTTGGAACTTAATTCAATTTAAATGTAATTTTTGAAAATTGTAAAATGTAAAATTTTTAATTGAATGGAATTGAATTTGGATTTTATTTAAATTAAAATCGATTTATAATATAATTATTTTTTTAATTTAATTTAATTAGATTGCATTTGGAATTTAATTTAATTAATTGCTTTTTTAATTTAATTTAATTTTTAAATAATTTTTTATTATAATAATGACATATATCACATTTAATGTCTAATCTATTCTTTATCTCTGCTTTACACTCTTGTAGGTCACTTAGATGTAGTGTGTTTACTGGTGAGCCAAGGGGCCGAGATCAGCTGCAAAGACAAGAGAGGATACACACCTCTACATGCCGCCGCTTCTAACGGTCAGATCGCTGTCGTCAAACACCTGCTCAGCCTGGCCGTAGAGGTACTCAAACGTTACATATAGGAAGGAGAGTCTAGCTTTAGCTGACCTTTATGTTGTTTGTTTGACAGATAGATGAAGCCAATGCCTTTGGGAATACGGCCCTGCATGTTGCGTGTTTTAATGGACAGGACGCAGTGGTCAGTGAGCTGATAGATTACGGTGCTAATGTCAGTCAGCCTAATAACAAAGGCTTCACTCCTCTCCACTTTGCTGCTGCGTCCACTCATGGTGCCCTCTGTCTAGAGTTCCTGGTCAACAGCGGAGCAGATGTCAATGTCCAGGTATGTCTACTTGGACTAAATATAGACAGACAGTCCAAATCATGTGTGCTTTATGCTAATGTTGTCTTCTCAGAGTCGCGATGGGAAAAGCCCTCTTCATCTGACGGCTGTTCATGGGCGGTTTACACGGTCCCAGACGCTCATTCAAAACGGTAAAATGTTTTTTTTAAGCATCTACGACCCACATAGAAATCTAAGGGCAAATAAAGAACAGTTCACTCTTACTGGAGCCCAGGGAATGCTTATGTAACTTATGGTAAAAAAATTAGTTGCCCAAATTTGTTTGTTAAGGGAAAATATTAAATATTTTTTAAAAGCAGCAAAAATCAAGAAAAACACTAAAATATATAAATTTTTTAAAATTTGTTAATGTTTTGTGTAATATTTTGCATAAATGTAAATGTATTGTTTTCCTTTTTCTAAAGATGTTGGCTGATTAAAATATTTTAATAAATATATCTATTTGCTTAATCTGTTTTAGTCAAATGCACCAAAATATATCACCAATATTCTCTGAGAAATGGATAAAAATATTCATTTCCAAATAGGGTGTACTCATTTATGCTGAGCACTGTATATTTTTAGGCTACATTTTCATATACATATATTCATACGGCTGCATATATACACACATACATTTGTCATTTCAATGGCAGGGAAAAATACATATATGCAAGCACCTATTTTTGCAGTATTTCGAAATATATGTTGCATATGACATATAATACATATAGTTTATATGTCAAATTCAAATATAAACTGAATATAAATGTCATATGTATTTTGCATGCTTTTCTAAGTATCAGATTTCTGTATGGGGATAGTTGCATTCACATTTAGATTCTGATGTTAATTTGCAATGATTTTTATGCAGGAGGAGAGATTGATTGTGTTGATAAGGATGGAAACACTCCACTGCACGTTGCTGCTCGATATGGTCATGAACTTTTGATTAACACTCTAATAACGAGTGGAGCCGACTGCACAAGGTTTGAGTCTACCTTTGGATTTTGATTTAAAATCTTGTTAAATAATCACTGCACGTCTCTGATATACTGTTCTCCTTGCAGAAGAGGCGTACACGGCATGTTCCCTTTGCATTTGGCAGCTCTGAATGCTCATGCTGACTGCTGCCGGAAACTCCTCTCTTCAGGTACAGACTACACCACCAAATCAGAAACTGCCATTGGACTACCTTGATTTATCACTGTAAACCTAGATTTTTGGCATAAATGCGCATGAGGCCACACATAAAATATTTGAATATTGCTCTGAAAAGGAATGGGATCAGCAAATGTTCGTTCTCTCTGCGATTTCCATAATCATTTATAAAAACAATAATAATGAAGCAATCCACTCAATAAAATTAGTTATTCTTGCTAAATGAGGCACTTAATTTTTTTCCAAATATATTTTTATTGAATGTTTTTGATGCAAAAAAATATGAGACATTTATATTGAGTACATCATTCATATCATTTGAATTCTGATCCTTTCATGAAAACTATAATACAGATAATAAGTTAAGTTGTAATTAAATAAACAAATAAACATAAAAAGCACATAAAATACAATAGCACTTAATTCTAATTAAATTTAAAAAAATTCTGACCCCAAAGGTTGAATTTTAGTTTAGTTTATATATATATGTGTGTATGTATGTATGTATGTATGTATGTATGTATGTATGTATGTATGTATGTATGTATGTATGTATATATATATATATATATATAGTACAAAGGACAGACAAAACAATTCAAACCACACAATATACATTAAAAAAGACAGTTATGCTACAATTTCATCAAAGGTCACTGATAATGCTCCTCAGTAAGCATTTATCAACAACAATAAATGGCATTCTGAGATTTCTCCAAGTGACAGATAAACTTATAGATCAAATATCTCATCAAAGCAAAAAATGATCGAACTCTTACCTTACAGAATAGCTCACTTGTACAACACCATTTGTTTTAAGAAGAATCTTCATACAATCATTGTATGTAACTTGCAGCTTTATGGAGACTCTTTTTTTTTTTTTAAATTATACCACAGAGGAACTGTGTATAAAGAACTGCAAGTTCTAAAGAGTTTTACCGTAACCTGCTCTTAACACAAATAAAACTTTCTCACCAGCATATTTGCTTGAGCATTTAGCCTTCGACGTTCCCTGTTTAGGTCTGGCATGCCCTTATCTGCTATTTTAACTCTGACTCTTGATTGTGGGTTTGCTGCTGTATGAAATCATAGACTGTAGATCTGTTCTTTTTAAGTTGTTCTGCTTAGTTGCACACATTTTTGTTCTCACCTCTGTAAGTGATGGGTGTTTGTCTTGTCTTTCCTGTGTGCACTGTCTTTGTTTTTCCTGCACTAACATCCTTTCTCTCTCTGTGTCTCTCTTTCTCTCACACCGTCTCTTTCTTGGACTTCTTTTTCCTCCATTTCACACTTTCCCCCTACTGCGGTCTGACACTGTGGCTGTCTGCGTCTGGTTGTGGGGACACTTTCCTCTTCTGTGCACTGTATCCTTCCTCCTCATCCTTCCATTCCTCTACAGGACGGAGGTATAGCATAATGTGCCCTCTCAGTAATGACTCGGTCCTGTCTGCAGGCTTCCAAATCGATACGCCTGATGACCTGGGGAGGACATGTCTGCACGCTGCAGCCGCAGGAGGGTGAGTCTGTCAATCTGCAGATCTGATTTTTACTTGTTGAGCTGCAGAGTCAGATGGGATTGTATATAAGATGTGTGCTATATTAGAACAACTAAAGCTGGTCTGTGAACACTTGATTACTCAATTTAAATATATGTTTTTATAACTAGAGTTATAAAACTTTTTGTTTTTTCATTGTGGCTGTGGGTAATTTATAGGAATGTCAAGATCTGTTTTTTGGCCCTAGAGTCTGACTCAGTTGATTTTGAGTATCTACCGAAACCCGATCCGATACTTCTAGAGTACATAAGTTAGGTTTATTTATAAACTTATTTCGAGAGGATCACATGGCCATGATTGTTCTCAGCTGTTCCCGCATCAGCTCGCGATTGATTGTGCAATCAGATGATTCCTAGCTCACTATAAATAACCAGAGTTTTTCTTATCTTATTATCTTCACCTGGAAGAAACCCCCCTCCCACTCCCCCTTCATTCCAGTTGGGCGACACCGCGGCCCAGTGATTAGCTCTGTTGCCTCACAGCAAGAATGTCTATGGTTAAAGTCCCTACTAAACCAGATGACATTTCTGTATGGAGTTTGCTCTTTCTCCCCATGCTTGCATGGGTTTCCCCTAGGCTTTCCGGTTGCCTACCACAGTCCAAAAACACTCAACCTAAGTAAATTGAACACACAAAATTTATACCGTAGCCAAGCTCTTAGTAAGTACACCTCTCCTCAGTCATCCATATCCGTAATTTAGTTAGAAATAAGCCGGGGGGAGTTCATCGAGATCTACCTGAGCTCAAACTCCCTCCCGTTTGCAGGGCGAGAGGGAAGCCCAGGGCTCGAGGATCTCATAAGCTCGGGCCTCTCTCCTGGGACAGCATGCCAAACAAGCTTTTATTATCAATCATCAACTAAGTGTGAACACTTGAAAGAAATAAAGAAAAAAGAAACAGATCCAGGGTGTTCCTTATTTTTTATTTACTTCACCTTAATTTAACATTCAACAACTCTGTTAATAAACAGAGCACTTCTGTAAGGTAGCTTGGATAATCAAGCAATAAACTAAATAATTTCTTCACTTTTGGACTTTAGTGCAACAGTTAATATAAAAAATATAAAAACAAATAGCACCTCAACTTAAAAAACCCTACAGGCAATCGCAAGTTTACATATCTCACAGTTTGCTATGGGAATGTTGCCGCCATCAACTTTATAATAATACCATCAGATCACAGGCATACTCGCACTTTCTGCATCAAGCTCAAAAAAGAGATCAAACTCTGTGTCACCGCATAATTAAAGATGTGTTAAAAAATAATGAGAACATATACATATATACATATATATTTGAGTTTTAATTGGGAGGTAACGTCCTATTTCGATCGAGTTGAAAGCCATGTGAACAAACCCGATGTCCAATCATGGGCTCAGATCTGGCTCTCCCTAGTAATTTATATTTTGATCATTGGAAGATGACAGATTTGTCAACAGGTTGTCAAATGTGACATCTGTATATACACATCTATGGTTGTGGTGATGATGACCAAGTTTGTGTTTCAAAAACATCTTTCAAAATTGCTAAAGCAAAAACAATTCTCAAATCTAATCAGAGAAATCATATATAATACATTTCTTTTAAATAGCCGAAATAACTAGTGCATGAATAGGATATTTCAAGTGTGCATATGCATTGTAGAGCAACAAAATGATTAAACCTTTAATTAAAATGATTGGGCAATTTAACTGTAAAAAGGCACTTCCTTTCCTTTAGCTGAGATGTAGAGGATAGCAGTTTTACTATTTGCATTTGCAGTTTCACTGTCTTGTGCATTTGATCTCTCTGTTTCTGATCTGACTTTTTGATACTGCAATATTATGCGAAACTGGTAGGAAAATTTAGAAGTGATTAAACTAATGACTAACCCTTTGTGAGACCTGCTGTGTGCCCACATATCAGGTCAAGGCCTGAAGTCCAAGCTAATCTCACTCTCTCTCTCTCTCTCTCTCTCTGTCTCTAGAAATGTGGAATGTGTGAAGCTATTGCTCAGCAGTGGAGCCGATCATAACCGCAGGGACAAACATGGAAGGTGAGTTCTTGAGTTCCTGGTAAACATTTATGTCAAGGCATTTATCCAACTAATTGCTGAGTTGTCCAGTTCATCACAGACAGTATACATATCTGTGCAATTGTGTGCAGTTTTGTGCTATTCTTGGTCAGTGCTATGAAATGTAATGCAAATGGCAGCTTTTTTCAGATGTTTTCACAGCTGTTTATAGAACCACCGATCAGCACTTATTACTGCATACATTAAATGAAATCATCCCTTCTGTAGTAGTTTGTTCTATCATGCTTATATTTGTCATATTATTTCCTGTCTTTTGTTATGGATGTCGACAGGACCCCTCTTCATTATGCGGCAGCTAGTCGTCACTTTCAGTGCCTGGAGACTTTGGTGTCCTGCGGTACCTGCATTAACGCCACTGACCAGTGGGGGCGCACTGCTGTTCACTACGCTGCTGCTTCCGACCTGGACAGAAGGTACGTGCATCATTAAACAAGGATTACTCTCATAATTGGTAAAAATAAAGATACATATAAAAAAAATATTGCGCTTTAAGCTTTTTAGACTAAATATTATGACGGATTTAAAGTACACATGAAATCAAAACTAACCATACTGATTTTATTTTTATTTTAGAAAAAAATGGCTGCGTTCAAAAACCGCCTACTACTCAGTAGGTACTGCATTTGAATTTACATGTACTACTCGGCCGTTAGAAAAGTACATTCCATACAGTTTAATTGTGAGAAGTATGAATGAAATTCGGGCATACTACATCCGCCATGCGTTAGTTGCGTCGCTTCATTCCCATTCATAAATTCTCTCGCAGAGCATCATGGGATAGCGCAGCATGCATGGGATGCGCACTTCAGAATCTCGCCGGAACGAGTAAGTCATTCAGGTACTTCTCGCAATCTGATTTTTGAATTCTATGAATTCGAATGTACTACTTGGCTCACGCACTGATTTTAGCTTACTGTATAGTATAGAAACATGTGGTTTCAGACGCAGCCAATGTTTTGCCTTTATAATCTAAAAATTAAATCTAAAAATGCACTTCCTGTTTGTTTTTAGTTAGATTTTCAGATTATGTCTGTCTGAGGTATTTGGCTTGGTTACCATACTTAACCACACCAACTCCACTCCAACTGTCTGTTAAGGCTTGTACACACTGGGACACTTTTCATTTGCGTTTATCGTCAGCGTTTTTCGAGGCGTTTTTCACTTTCAAACCCAAGTAATTTTCACTGATGTCGAGCAGAAGAGTAAGCAAAATCACTCCTTGACGTTAGATGGTGCTACACAACTTTAAGCTTCTGACAACCGCTTGTAACATTGAGGAAGAATACAGAAAGTTCACAAGCTTGTTATTAAAATTACTGGCGATTCCAGCAAGCATGGATGGTTCAAGTAGCAGCTCCAGTTGTAGCGATGAAGAAATGATTATTGTTCCCTAGAGCAATAAGCAGCTCCTCGTTTTTCAATGTGCGCTCGCATTGACCGTTTTGCGCTTGAGCGCCTTTAAGTGCTGTTTATTGTAACTTCAGCAGCTCTATGCATGTGAACAAAAGTGGCAAGTTGATTGGTGGAGAAGGTTTTGATGTGGCGAGTCAAAACAAAAGCAAAAAAAAAAAAAAAAAACTAGCTTGAGGCGTTTCTTTAAAAAATGACACTTACGCCTGCCATTTTGCGCATTGGTTTGCACGATCACATTGGCGCTCTTTATGTAGTCATGAGGTGTTAAACGTCGTCGGGAAACGCGAGCAAAAATCGTCCTGGTGTGAACGGGCGTTTAGCTTGTAACAACTCTCTTGAATCCCTTTTCCCGATCTTTATGAATGACATGCCTGTTTTTTTTTTACATGCAATTAGCTTGCAGTATAAAATACAAGCCACGCCCACTGTTTTGTCATGTTATATTTTGTTTCTCTAGGAACTGTGACACAATAAAACAGCTTCCGGTTTATGCAGACTTTAAAGGTTGAAAAAGAAAAGCCTACTTGGTTTTAATATGCTTACTTTAGAGTATGTGCACTGTCCAATCCACTGCCTTTAATTTTTTTCCGTTTGGTTATTGGATTGTTTTTGATGATGCTGTACAAACTCAACATATGTGCTCTAAAAAGATGTAGCCTCATCTAATGTCTATGAGCAAGGTTTTCATAGTGGTTCATAAAAAAATTTGATTACATCTTTAATGCCCTCCAACCTTTTTTGGATATCGCATGGGCATAATTAATGTTACAAAAATATTCACATTCGTGTGTTTGTGTGCACTTTTGATCAGTTATCAAAAATGTTGGTTTGTGTTAAGCACTTTCTGCTGACAGATTTTGCAGCACGCACTGTGTTGTTGATTTTTAATGCTAGTTTGTATTTGAAGCAATGGGATGGTGGAGTTAAAGGTGCTGTGAAGTGCTTTGAAATGTGCAGTTTTCATTCAAAATTTGACCTAATCTCAACAGAAACATGAAGGCAGGGCGGGACCTGGAGTAACTCCTCCCCTTTAAAAAAACAGTCAGTAGTATTTTCCTCACAGCTCTACCAGTAAGAGTGGTTGAGCTCAAGTGCATTAAATAAAAAGCAAATGAGAAGCCTTAGGGGGGCGGGGCATGTCAGATACTAGAGAGCATTTGATTGGTTAAGATTTGATAATAAACTGAAGTATGATGTGACATGAAAAAAAATTGTTGATCCATTTAGGCGGAAGTGACAAACTGCCAGCTTTGGGTGTTCATGGAAGGTTTATAGCTCATTAACGGAAATTTTGTCATTGTTTTGGAGCACATTAGCTTATAGACATTCTTAAAATGAACATACTGATTGTTAAATCTTAAAATCTTAATTTAAATTTCACAGGATTTTATTTTATTTTATTTTATTTTAATTTATTTATTGACTAAGGGTAAAACACCCTCTAGCTGAATATTTTACAGCACACAAATAGACCACACTTTGGCCAAACTAAATGTAACTTACAGTTCTAGGTGCATTTTTAACCCAATGAAGTGGGTTCGACACAGGCATCAGGTGAAATGGAGTGCAGCACCAGTCCTCTTCTCCAGAGACTGCTAGCAGCTACAGTAACACATATATCTGTTACCATGGCAACCACGGGCTATTTTTAAGTCTCTTGTCATTGGGGTAGTTTATGTGCAGAGACGGGGGTTGACGTCAAGTTGATACGACATACGGAAACACCTTTAATTTTGTCTAATTTAATTAGCTGCTATAATTTACAAGGAATTTTGTGAATAAGTAAAGAGATGTGTCATACTATAGTGTCATTCATTCATTTATGTGTGTGAGTTAGTTATGATGTGTGTGATTATTAAATAGACACATTTTGTGATATTAATTATATATATATATATATATATATATATATATATATATATATATATATATATATATATATATATATATATATATATATATATATATATATATTTATATAAAATAATAACCGATGAAGAATTTTATTGTCACAGTTAGAGGAAGGAGGACCCAAATGCAGAATGAGTGCAGGGAGTGTTTATTGACAATAATATGTGAAAAAGGGGTTAAGTGAAGCACAGTTCAATGGTGTAATGGACAGGGTAGTGCTGCTGAGTCCTGAATGGAGCAGACAGACAAAGGAAGTTGTGTTGGAGAGTCCTGTTGAAGTAATCAGCGGCCACAAAATGCTAGGAGAACAGCAGACTGAGCCGGGATGCTCAGGCCAGGCAGGAGGTGGTGAAGGCCTTGGATGAGACACTGCTGATCAGTGATTCTGGAGAGTTGTGGTCTCACTGTGGGCAGGGCTGGACAAAGACAGAGAGAGACGAGACAAACACAGACACAGGCTGTTTTGCAATATGTGTTCTTCAGCGACCATGCATCCTCATGTTCTCGTGTAATGTCAACGTCAAGTTTAGTTCCAAAAACTCAGGACCACAAGTATGGAGGACGTGTGAAAGTTCCCAGATGTGTTTTTGTAATCGAGGACACATCGATGCAGACTTGAGCAGAAAACTTGCTCGCAAAGTCCCAGAAGTCCTTGCGGCTGAATAAAGGGGGTGGGAAGTGCAGCATTCTATATAGATTTAGTATTAAAGTTCAGAGATCTAACTTATCTCAGAAGTTTCCGCAAATGAAATGATGAAAGTAAACATTACCATGAAAATTTGAATAGAGGCATAAGCGCATTAAGGGTGTTTATTTGCTGAAATTTGTATTTAAATCTGTTTTATTTGTATTGTGTAAAGTATATTTGTAAGGTATTTATGCATAGTATATATTTTGAAAAGGGGAAAAACAATAAGTCATTGTATGAATGCTTTAGTATTTAAATTTCCCATTAAAAACGTGTGAAGGTCACATGACCAACAGGAAGAAGCACGGAAGAACGCAGCATCTCATTTCTCAGAGGACGTGTTCTCTGTTCTCGTGGCCTTCTGAGTTCGTTCTTCCAAAGTAACTTGGCAAGAACGCAAGTCTGTTCTCAGCATTCTTGGAATTTAGAAACAGCCACAAAGACAGGGCAACTAAACTAAGAAACAAAATAATAAAACAAATGGAAAACTAAAGCTGTTAAAAATAAAACCAAAGAGAAATTAAATTGTATTCAACTTACTGAAATAAAACGGGAAATATATCCAGTAAAAAGGAACTAAACACTTAAAACTACTAATAAAATAAAGATAAATAGAATAACTTAAGAAAATTTTAAAAAGGTGAACTAGACTGGGATGACACCGAAGGCCTACTGAAAAACCACAAACATAAACAAACATTAGACAAAGACAACTCAAACTAACCAATAGCAGCATAGAGAGAAACACGCACGGTCAAGTCACAAGCAACAATAAGTAACATGAAATACAAGATGCAACAATAAACTGACAAAGACATGAGGGAAGAGAGCACAATATAAAAGGAGGAAAGAACATGAGGACCAGGTGTAAACATTGAGACTTACGAGTACTAGATGAGGGCTGAATAATGGGGTGTGGCAGTTGGAAACAATGAGGGAGGAACAGAGGAGCACATGGTGAACACAAACACAGGTTGAGCCATGTGCTCAGACACAACATAAACAGACACGTTGAACAAGGACAACACAGACACAACATCTAGCATTGACCCATGACATTCATTCATTCATTTTCTTTTCGGCTTAGTCCCTTTAATAATCTGGGGTCGCCACAGCGGAATAAACCGCCAACACTTAACAAGCAAATGTTTTAGGCAGCAACTCATCACTGAGAAACATCCATACACATTCATACACTACAGACAATTTACCCAATTCACCTATAGCATTCACCTATAGCACATATTTTTGGACTTGTGGGGGAAACCAAAGCACCTGGAGGAAACCCATGCGAACATGAGGAGAACATGCAAACACGGGGAGAACATGCAAACTCCACACAGAAACGGCTGTGAGGCAAACGTGCTACCCACTGCGCCACCGTGCAGCCAGACCCATGACAGTTATGACATAACCTTTCTGACATGGTACCACAGTTACAATATAATTAGTTTATTCATGTTCTCATCTTTGTAAAAACGTAACAAACAAGAACAAAATCATAATAAATCAACATTCACTTATCACAAATAATAATAATAATAATAAAGCAATTTCTAGCTGGATAAGTTCATTCTAATAATTCAATTTATGAGCCAAGCCTAAACAACAAATTCACACGCTTATATTAGGTGGACATGGCAACCTTCCAAGTATCAACAAAACGCAAGGCTGAACATTAATTTAGGAGGGTTTGCTCTCATTTAAATGGTCACTCTTAAAACTTTCCAGTGTGTGTGTGTAGCCATTCATATTATTCACAGCCTTTTTTTTTCTTCAAATGAGTGACTTGATTAATTATTGAGTGAGAAGTGTCTGTGTGTGATTCTCTCTGAAGGCGGCGTGTGGTCCTGGAGCCGGAGAGTGACGGAGTTCAAGCTGAGAGGGAGAAGGAGGCCGCTCTGTGAGTTCCCTGGAACGGTCCACATCTGCTCAGCCTCATCTCTCTGTCCCCCCTCTGTGTCCACATGTCCCACCGTTCACTCCTACTGTTTACGTGTGTGCTGTTCTGATGCCAAAACACTGGATGCTTATGTCTGTGTGCGTCTTTAACCTCATCATTTTCATGTCTGGGACAAACTAAATGTATTTTCCTTCTCTTCCCTCTCTTTATATGCATTGTTTTCTGTTATTTCAATGTATTATTGCACATAATCTATATGTTTATATATGCGTGTGTATATTACATGTTCAGTCTATGTTATTTCCCTGCTGAAAAAAACAGCTTAAACCAGCCTAGGCTGGTTGGCTGGTTTTAGCTGGTCAACCAGGCTGGTTTTAGAGGGGTTTTGGCCATTTCCAGGTTGGTTTCCAGCCATTTACAGCCTGCTTGATCAGCTTAGCCAGGCTGGGAGCTCCCAGCCAAAACCAGCTGTGTCCAGTTTAAGCCAGGCTGGTTAAGCTGGTTTTAGCTGGTCATTTTCCAGCCTGACCAGCTAAGACCAGGCTAGAAATGACTGGAAACCAGCCTGGAAGTGGCCAAAACCCCTCTAAAACCAGGCTTGTTAACCAGCTTAAATGAGCCAACCAGCTTAAGCTGGTTTAAGCTGTTTTTTTTCAGCATGGGAGCAAGTACTTGACAACGCCAACAATAAATAAATACCTGACCACAGGACTACAGTATATATTATATATACAGTCTGGTTCTCGAATATGATAGCCTGCGGTATTCTGCAATATCAGAACTCTTACAGCCTCTTCACTCTTGTGTATTACTCTGCCCACATATAGTGACAGCAGATCAATAAACTCACTACAGTTTGACAAATATGTTTTGTCATCACCTGTTTCGTCATCAGTTTAGACATTACGCTAGAGAATCATTCAAACACTAGCTCTAAAGTGACGGTGGTGAATTAGTAATGGCTTCTGCTGTTCTGACGTCAGCTGCAGATGTGAATGAATGGCAGAAGAAAGTAGTTCCTCATACAGAATGGTTTTTAGACTCTTGTCTAAAAAAATGTTTCATTTTTCTTTTTGATATACACGATCATGCTGTCAAAATGCTGTATAAGGCAAGGCAAGTTTATTTAAATAGCACATTTTATACACAGTTGTAATTTAAAGTGCTTTACATAAACTGGAATTAAAGCATAAATAAAATAGAAACAAATAATATAAAGACAGATGAAAACAGCATAACGACAGTTTTTCCATATTCCAAAACACCGGTGTATCATAATTTCTGCGATATGGCTGTATATTATCACTGCGCAGGCCTCCCACCAGTGTCAATTCATAGCCGTATTGCACTGCTACTCGTGTGATATTGCTCATATATATGTTTTATTTTATTCTTTTACAACATGACATCCCCATTTTCTAACATGCAAAATAAAGCATTTTATTGTCCTTTTGAAAAGAGATTGATTGACATGCACAAAAAAGTTAAATGAAAAGAAAACACTTCTGTTTGAGTACTTTGTTTAAATATTCTATTTGTTTAGAAATATATATTTTTAATTATGTTGTTCTTGATTAAAGCAGTTAAATGTAATCTGTTTTTACATTTCTGTATGGAAATGTAACATGTGTCTTATACTTCAATGCAACAGTTTTGTTTTTCTTTTTAAGTAAGTATGTGTTTATATAAATGTTATTTATTTCTATGCGTGTGTTTGCAGGTGTCTGGAGTTCCTGTTGCAGCATGGCGCTGGCCCATCGCTTAAAGATAAACAAGGCTACAGTGCGGTTCACTATGCTGCAGCGTACGGCCACAGACATTGCTTAAAACTGGTGAGAATACAATTATGTCCTGTGTGAGCTTCAGGGCACTTCCTCTGTTATCAACGGTCACTACAACATTACATTTAAATATGTGACCTAACATGCAAATGGGTTTTGTCCAATGTTTGGTTTCCTTCTTGGGTTCTAAAATGATATACATTTGAAGTCAGAATTATTAGCCCCCCTCTAGAAATTTGTTTCTTTTTTAAATATTTACCATATGATGTTTAACAGAGTAAGGACATGTTCACAGTATGTCTGATAATATTTTTTCTTATTTGTCTTCTTATTTGTCTTCTTATTTGTCTTTCTTAAAAGTTTTATTTGTTTTATTTTGGCAGTTTTTAATTAAAAAAAAACATTTTAAGGTTAAAATTATGAGCCTCTTTAGGCTATATTTTTTTTCGATAGTCTGCAGAACAAACTATCGTTATACAATAACTTGCCTAATTACCCTAACCTGTCTAGTTAACCTAATTTACCTAGTTAAGCCTTTAAAAGTCACTTTAAGCTGTATAGAAATGTCTTGAAAAATATCTAGTAAGATATTATTTATTGTCATCATGGCAAAGATAAAAGAAATCAGTGATTACAGATAAGTTATTAAAACTATTATCCTTAGAAATGTGTTGAAACAATCTTCTCTGTCAAACAGAAATTGGGGATAAAATAAACAGGGGGGCTAATAATTCAGGTGGCTAATAATTCTGACTTCATCTGTATATATTAAAACGATTGTTTACCAAAAAATGAAAATGTACTCAGGCTCAAACCATACAAGTGTTTCTTTTTCCTGTTGAACACAAAATAAGTTATACTGAAAAACTTTGAACCATTAACATCGTAGTAAAAAAATAATTCCTATGGAAGTACTATGTTTCTGACATTCTTTATCCATCTCAAGTATCATGTTTTGGTCAACAGATCAAGGAAACTCAAACAGGTTTGCATGAGTAGATGATGAGTAACTCATGACAGAAGTCTTCAACCTATTGTGCGACACCTGCTGGTGAAGTGAATATGTTTATTATTCAAAAATAAGTGTTCTTTTATTCTGGAAATGTTTAAAAATTTAGGCATTTTGGCAAGAAATTAATAAATGTTTAGATAATATATTCCATATCCCGATCGATTTTTTTTTCCTTCTCAACGCTATACTTAGGCCTAAAAAATCCTATGTTAGAAGAAGAATTTGACAAAATAACTGCTGAAAATTTTGCTGATAGCCTGTAAAAAAGCCATAAACACAAAATGGTTACAGCTCTAAATACCTCAAATTAGTGACTGTTTTGACATAATTTATTAAATCTATTAGATGGAGAGGCTAATAATGAACTGTCGTTTACAGTCTGAGAAGTTTAATGAGACATTGAGAAAACATGTAGAATGTATTCTTCCATTAAGACCAGATTTACTATAGAATGAAGTCTGAAAGATGTGAATGTTATTTTGTTTAATTTTGTTTATTATTTTTTGCAATGAGAGAAAATATTAAATAAAGACAGCGAGAAGAACAATACCCATTTAAAAAATAAACTAATAAATAAAAATTTACATTTAACATCCCAAAAGCACCATCCTCACAGTTTCATATGTATATAGTTTACGTAATAAAAATAAAGAAAAGGCTAGACTGGGTGCCACAATAAGGGTTAAAAAAGTACATAATTGTAACTGAAAAGCAACAAATCCGTTTAATCTGTTTTCTTTTTGACGATATGCAAAACAGTTACGAGTGTAATGTTTTGATTGTTTTTATGATGTTTTTATCCTTAAAGCATTAATGTAACTTCCTTATTTACTTATTTATGGACATTTTTTTTGTATTTTATAATTTCATTTATTTTTACAGTTTCTGGATTCGGATGTTTGATTGTTTTGTGTACCCAATGTGGAAAACCCTATATACAATACATCTGTATGTAAATTTGGAAACTGCAATAAAAGCTAAATAAAAAAATAAATAAATAAGTGTAGGGCAGTTTAATTCAAGACAAGTCAAGCTGAGCTTATTGTCATTTTGCTACATGTGTGGGCAAACAGTGGAACTAACTGTCATGTCTTGCAGGACCACAGTGCTATGTTTGTAATTTATAAATGTGAACAACACATAACCTAAGACAGACTGTACAAGTATTTTTACACAAGACAGAACAGTATTGTTCTACATATTGTACAAATGAGGTATTGAAAAGAATTTGTGTAACATGATTTGTGGTAAACAAGTAAACCTTGTTTTCCTTATTGAGTCCTTGTAAGTTGTAGTTTAGGTAAAGTGTCTGGTGCATATAGAGGGAAAAGTGCTTCTACAGGTGGTTTGTCAAGTCCACTTACCTGTGCGAGGCGCACTCAAAAATGTTTTTTCTGGAGTCCAACGAGAATAGCTGTAATTCAGATCATATTTGATTTCAGCTTTTGGACAGAGATGAAAACCATCAAGATGACATGGAGAACAACCAAACCAGAAGCCCTTTACATCTGGCTGTGAGTCCAAATTTACATCTTTAAAAGCACAACATGTATGATTTTTTTTCATAAAAAATTTCCAAAAACCACTAGAATAGTAATATACATTTGGCTGACTCATGTTTACATTACCCCAAAGATTTCAAATAATGTTAAAATCCAGAAAAATAAGCAATTTTAAGTAGTGACAAAGGTCATGACCTTTCTAATGACGTCATACACCCTCAATTCCCGGTTTGGTTTTATAAAAGCAGGGAAATGCCAAAGATGCTTTAAAATGTTGTGCATTTTATCAGACTGCACAGAGCATGTTCATGACAGAAAGAACTAGAAGTGGTCGACTGTGACATAACTCCATTGCTTGAATACTTTAGCTCACCCATAAACATAATTTATGCATGATTCTCTTAAGATGTAATTAAGACAACACCTATGATTCCACACTTACACTATCATCAAACTTTGCCTTTGTTTGTTGTGAATATGTTCCCTCTAATGGCAAAATTACATAGTGAGCCTTTTAAATGTACACACACACACACACATAGTAGTAGCACATTTTTGAAAAACGTCTTTTATTCTAACTAAGAGTACATTTATTTGATGGAAATGCATTAAAACTGTATATTAAGAAATGTTTTTACACTTTAACTGTCATATCATTCTTTTAAACACGCTAAAATCAATCATAGTACCTTTAGAAACGGCTGAGCACTGTTATCTACTACCTAATGCCACATTTTTCACAGAAAAACAGAGCTTAATAGGTTTGATCACCACAGATTACTTGCTTAAATAGGAGTAATATTTGAGAACACGTTTAGAATTTGTACACCTTTCAATGTGTGTATGTGTGTCTAGGCATATCACGGGCACGCGCAGGCTCTAGAAGTGCTCTTGGAGGGTCACTGTGAGGTGGATCAGGGGGATGAAGTTGATCGGACTCCACTGGCCCTTGCTGCTCTCAGGGGCCACACTGACTGTGCTCTCACACTTCTGAACCACGGGGCTTCCCCGAGAAGCAGAGATACTGTCAGAGGACGTACGCCCATCCACCTTGCAGGTGTGGTGGAAACTATTCTGCACTTTTTTTAATGCATTATTGTTTGTGATTGTTACGTGTTTAATTTATGTTGGATGAGATGTAACATTCAGTCTCTAATGGTGCTGGGTGAAAATGAGAAAATGTTGAGCGAGAAGATGGATAAGTGAAACAAAAATTATCAATTTATTAAACTGAGAATATCAAACAATGAATATAGAAATTTAGATTTGTACTTTTTTTGTAATTTAATCAAAAACAGGACTGTTGCCAAAACAAAGTAATAAATATATAACAAAACAATCTAACTAAACTCCAATCCACTAAACTTACCAAAGAAAAATGCAGAAACAAACCCGTAATCTTCCGCGTATGCGATGCTTAACTAAACTTCTTATCTATTCCAAAAGATAATTACGAATGTGGCAACTCCTCCATAAAATAACACTAGCACAAAAAAACTATGCTGCACAAAATTACTAGAGTTCTCATAAAGTACACACTATTAGCAAAGACTATACACAAGTATACACAACTAATTCACAAGACATGTCACTCGTTTCTGTCAATATGGTGAATAAAGCCCTGCCTACTGGTACAAGAGGCAATCAACGATCCCCATACGGTGAAAAAAGCCTGCCTTTTTGAACAGGAGCCAATCATAGATCGCTATAGACCAGGGGTCAACCAATTTCGTTCCTGGAGGTCCGGTGCCTTGCAGGGTTAAGCTCCATTTTGCCTCAACACACCTGCCTGGGTGTTTCAGGTATACCAAGTAACACCTTGATTAGCTTGTTCAGGTGTGTTTGATTAGGGTTGGAGCTAAATCTACTGGACACCAGTCCTCCAGGAACAAGTTTGGTGATCCCTGCTATAGACTGACAATACTCTGGGGGAGGGGCTTGGACCAGACATGAGTTTCTGTTGATTTTGTGTAATTTAAATGTTTAGAAATAAAACTAACGGGACAGATGTCGTTCAATTTTATTGGTGATTCCTAATATGAAATTCAGTCATAAGCTTTGCAAGCAATTTGGGAGAATTTGATGTTTCCCCAGTCGGACAGAATGCCCGAGCATACTGCCCGAGAGGCGTTTCAAAGATGGCCGCCATGTAAAAATGACTTGCCTTAAAGGGACTTTGCCATAAGCAAAACAAGAGCTTATCTGATAATCCAATTCGAATTTCCAATAATAAATACTAAATTGTGCTGCACAATCTAATAAATAAATCACTTAAATGAGAGACAAACTAAACAACAACAGCAACAAAAATAATATAAACAAATGAACAGGCTGGCCGACACAAGTGAGGAGTTTGGTGGCGAGCCAATCGCTCCTGCTGAACGGCGCAAGGGAACGTCTTTTATACGTGGCGGACTAGCTCCTGATTGGTGCGCCGAATGCATCATGATGGTGATTGTCAGCCTTCTCGATCAATGGTTGCGCACCTAGGACAGGACAGAGTACACAACAGAAGAGAAAACAAAACACCACAAAACATACGTGAAACGTAATAGTGATATTTGCAAAAATGTTATATTACTGTTAATAGGAATTATCTGGGATTTGTTGATAACAATAATTGATTGTTTGCTGAGAATGCCTTTTGTGCTACTTGAAGATTTTTTTTGTATGCAAATATGCATTTTACTTGATTGTTACAATAAAATATTACGATTTTTAAAAGCTCAGTGCTGCCATAAAATATTAATTGGTTGATCAAGCAGCCTTAATTAATACCATTAATAATTTTGTAATGAACATGTCTCCCTTAGTAATAGTAAATACATTTTTTTTCTTTCCAGTCATGAATGGTCATACATCATGTGTGCGCCTCCTGTTGGAAGACTCTGATAATGCAGATCTGGTGGACACAGCCGACTCTCAGGGACAGTGAGTTATAGATTAAGAATTTAAGTACTTAGTTACTACTAGTACTAACATTACATGCTAATAAAAAAAGAAACAACTATACAAATCGTCTCCCTAATTTCTGCACTATCAATGAATACAAAAGCATTAAACATGGTGACTAAAGATATATAAATTTTTTTTTTTGAAAGCAGACATCTAAACAAAGTTCAGAAAGAGATTCTTTCACTTGAGAGTGCATTAATTGTGTGTGTGTGTGTGTTTGCAGGACCCCTCTAATGCTGGCAGTAATGGGGGGTCATGTGGACGCTGTGTCTCTTCTGTTGGAGCGTGACGCCAGTGTGGACATGGCTGATCATCACGGTCTGACTGGTCTACACCTTGGGGTGAGTTTCATGTGTCATGCGCCACGTTTTCAGTGGAACAAACTGTATTTGATTTGAAAATGTCTCATAAAAAGCGTCATTAATGTTTTAAAAATATTGATGACAGTTCTTATGGCCTCATGGCAATCATGTTTATGACAGATTTATGACAGGTTTTGTTGTCTTGGTAATGTCAAGTTGGCAAAAATGACAACGACCAAAGAGAGGTTGTGATGGATTGGTTTATGTCAAGTTGTCATCTTTGCATTTAATATGCCATAAGTGAGCGAATGACACCTTATAACAGTTGTTATAAGCATGCATTCACTCTCATTCACAATCAGACAGTCATTTAGTCTTATGAACACCCCTTAAAGTAAACTGTTACCAAAAACTCACAGGTTTGGAACAAGTGGAGGATGAGTTAAGCAAATTTAAATTTTTGAGTGAACTATCGCTTTAAGGTGTACTGTTAAATATTTCTGTGGTTGTCATGACTGTTTTTTGAAACACTTTTTGTCTCTTTCAGCTCTTATGTGGACAGGAGGAATGTGTTCAGTCTCTGCTGGAGCTGGAGGCATCAGTGCTGCTGGGGGACTCCAGGGGTCGGACAGCAATCCACCTGGCTGCAGCAAGAGGCCACGCATCTTGGTTGAGCGAATTGCTCAGTATCGCGTGTATTGAACCCCCGTTGCCCCCTTTGCGAGACAACCAGGGATATACGCCCTTACATTATGCCTGTTACTATGGTTTGTTTTTACAGTCTCCATTTAGAGTTGAAATGATGAAATCAGAATGTAGCTTTTGTGAAGCATTGTGGAATAACTTTGTGTGTGTGTGTGTGTGCGTGTGTGTGTTTGTAGGTCATGAGGGCTGTGTAGAAGTCATACTCGATCAAAAAGACTTTTGCCAGTTTGAAGGGAACCCCTTTACACCTCTGCATTGTGCTGTGTACGCCAGTTGTTAGCCTCATGTCTTAATTTCTCTCACTTTTTGCTCTTCTTTTCCTCTGTTTTAACTTTGCTGAATCCTCTGTACTGCAGGGTCAATGACCATGAGACCTGTGCCACCCTTTTATTAGAAGCCATGGGATCAAAGATTGTAACATGCAAAGACTCCAAGGGCAGGTTAGTTTTGTTTGTGTGAACAAAGACCTAAAACAGTATATTAGATTTTTATTTGAAACAACAGACATTGTATTAGAGGCTTATTGAATATCAGATGAAATCGTGCTTTTTTTTAGGGACAGATTTACAGTCTTTACTATGGCAAAAGCTAAAATTTTCTAGATCATGATTAACTCATAACTAATACTAGATGTATAATAAACTTATACCTATGTGGCTCCGAAACAAGACTTTAAATGAAATTTTAAATAGTGTGATTTGCATTGGGGCGACACAGTGGCGCAGTGGGTAGCGCTGTCGCCTCCCAGCAAGAAGGTTGCTGGTTTAAGTCCAGACTTGGTCAGTTGACAAATCTGTGTCAGTTTATTTCTGTTTGCATGTTCTCTATGTGTTCGTGTCGGTTTCCTCCGAGTGCTCTGGTTTCCCCCACAGTCCAAAGACTGTGGTAAGCTAAATTGTCCGTAGTGTATGTGTGTATGTCCTGGTCCTTCAGATTGGGGGTTAGACGTTGGGCTAACAACACACCTCACCTCAAACTAGATGTTACGAAACACGAATATGGTGAGGCTAAATATCAACTTCGATATATATGGCACTGGGAGTAAGTGATTTGCATTAGATAGGAGAAATATCAAGCAAGTGACATTCATTTTAAAGCCCAATTGATAACATTTAAGCAAAACATTTCATATTGGTTTTTAAAATTATATTGTTAAAAATAAAGATTTAGATATCTGGACATGTGGCGCAGTAGGTAGTGCTGTTGCCTCACAGCAAGAAGGTCGCTGGTTCAAGCCTCAGCTGGGTCAGTTGGCTGGGTCACGTGGGTTTCCTCCGGGTGCTCCGGTTTCCCCTACAGTCTAAAGACATGTGGCACAGGTGAATTAGGTAGGATAAATTGTAGTATACGAGTGTGAATGAGTGTGAATGGATGTTTCCTAGAGATGGGTTGCAGCTGGAAGGGCAACTGGCTGCGTAAAAACATATGCTGGATAAGTTGGCGGTTCATTCCACTGTTGCGACCCCAGATTAATAAAGGGACTAAGGCGAAAAGAAAATGAATGAATGAATGAATATCTGGATCTTTCTGGTTGTTACTAATTAAAACACATTTGTGACCCTGGACCACAAAACAAGCTTTAATTTGCAACTGTATTTGGCAATAGGCAAAAAATACAAAGTTTGGTTCAAAATTATGATTTTACTTAATTTAACTATAATTTTATCATTACAATATTGTATAAAGTAAAGATGTTTTATTAAGATATCCAACTGTAACTATATTAAAAATAATCTTTGATTAGTAATATCAGTTTGCATTTTTAAGAACTTCATTAAAGGTGAATTTCTTCAATATAAATTTTTTTTTAACCCTCAGAATTATGTAATAAAATCACTGTCATAAATATTTCATGCGTAAATAAAATTCACGTATCCGTAATTATAAAATCGTACAGGAAAACGGAACATACTCGTAATTTTATGAGGGTAAAATTCCAAAATCTGTGAACAGACACAGATATGACATTTTCTTTGTCTGTTTGTATATGACTGATAAATTTATAATAGGTATACTTTACAAACACGAAATACAGTTTCACCACAGACTCGAAGTCCTGATTATGAGTACGAATCAAACAGCGACACTCCACTGTCAAAATTACATCACCGCTGTCACAGGCATTAAAATCTATAAAAATCTACAGAATCTATAATTTCGTATAGTTGTATCTCTATCCCAATCCTACCAAACCATACATCAATGGAAACTTATGGAAACTTTAATGTGACGTATCTCAAAGGAAAGTGATCCAGAGTAACATTTGAAAACATAGTTAAACATCATTAGTTCTAGTAATGAGAAAATAGACACAGCACGTATTTTAAAATGACAATATTTCTTATCAGTTTCTTTTGATCATATATTAAGCATTGCTAATGAACTGAAGAATTGTATCTCTTATCAGGACACCCTTCCATGCCGCTGCATTTGCTGGCCATGTAGACTGTGTTCAGTTGCTCTTGTCCCATAATGCGTCTGTGAATGAGGTTGACCAATCAGGACGCAGTGCTCTTTGTATGGCAGCAGAGAAAGGAAGGGTTGAGGTTGTAGGTATGCATCTATTTTTCTTTTCTTTCTTTTTTTGCATTGTGTCCATTTTCATTTATATATATATTGTGCATGAAAATAAACCCACTCATTTAAATTGTTGCACGTGTTTTAAACAGAAGCTTTGCTTGCTGCTGCCGATGTGAACATAAATCTGATTGACCAGAAGGGCAATACAGCACTCCATCTAGCCTGCAGTAATGTAAGTATAGCCAAGCGCTTGCCATAGTCATCAGCTGCTGTCATTTTATTGTTTCTGTCAAAATCTGACGTTTCGCATTATTTGTTTTGGAGCGGTTGTCAGGTAACAATCAATTTCATTTGAAAAGTCTTTACTTTTAATTATATTTTTCCGGTAAAAGTTATGCCATTTTAATGCAACATTACAAACACTACAATACATACACATACAGTGAAACAAAAATAGTGCATACTATTTACATAGGTACTACATTTGGATTTAAACTTGCATCACAACCATTAGAAGAGTACAGTCTATATAGCATGCATACATATTATGAATGTATGCCTTTTAAAATAATAATAATAATAATATTAAAAAACAGATGAAATATGAAAACTAACACTGCAAACAGACTTTTTAAATGATGTGTATTATTAATCCATTACCCGAGGTCTTCTGAAGATGATTTTCCTGTTCTTTCTTTTTGCGTCTAGGGAATGGAGGAATGTGCTTTGCTCCTTCTTGGAAAACTTCCAGACTCTGCCCTTGTCGCTACAAACAGTGCACTGCAAACGTGAGTTCCCCTGCACCATATTATTTACTTTTATGCTTTTGACAGACTCTTCTCGCTAAAACCATACTCTTACATATTATTTTAGAAGCAATTGATTATATGCATGGAACATTCTTAATAGCACCGAACGAGAAACATAGTGCTGCATCAGGGCTCGGAAGGATTTTGAAAAGCTGGGGTTAGAGTTGGTGTCAGTGTGTGCACACTCAAAAAGACTATAAATGTATTAGAAATTTAAAGACACGGCACATGACTTCTTATCTGGAGTTTGTCTGGATCAGTTCTGGAACACAACCAGTATATCTATATATCAATATAGATTCAATACACTCCTAGAGCCTGAGTGTCCACATATGTGGACAGCACATTTTTAGCTCTTAAGTGGCTGTTTAAAATGCTTTAAATGTTTTATATTTTGTTACAGACATACAGTGTCATCCTGCAACTGTTTTGCAGCATATGAAATGTCCCAAACCCTATTTTAGCTGTCCAAAATTGGGAAAAAAAAGTTTTTACTTTCTGATAGTCAAAGCAAGTTAAAAAAAAATTCTATATTAAATATGCATAAAAATTTTTGGGAAAAAGTGTTTTATGTAAATTCGGACCACAAGTCCACATATATGGACATCATTTTTCTCTAAAAGTACATCATATTAAAAGACATCATATAAAAATCATATCAAAAGATTTTTATTCTAATTAGAGAAATAAAGAGAAATAAAAGATGCATGTAAAAAAAAAACACCTTGGGCTCTTATCGCAAATTTTGGAAATAACCATTGATCCTGAATCTTGCCTTTTCCTATTGAATGATGATTCTTCTGTACACCTGACTTTGAATTAAAAACAAACTTTTTTTTCTCAGGATTAACAGCTGCAAAGAAAACAATTATCGGTTCCCTCCTGATCTCCTGTCAGTTCAGCAATGGTTATACTATTTTATAGACATTATTTGAATTGCACAGTCCAATTGCCTTAATTAACAGACCAAAGACTTCAACAATCCTTCATTGGAACCAAATACATGACAATTTGATCTCCATTATCAAAACTTAAGTGATTTTAATTAAACGATGTAGGAGAAACAATTAAGATGTCTCAGGATATAGGTGACAACAAACTATCTTTTCTTTTGATCTGTTTTACAATCATTTTAGTAGACACTTCTTTTTTTCCATTTTGGTACTTTTCTGACATTATGTATATAGTTTATTTTTCTTTTATATTTATTTACAGGTTTCTGTATGCATATGTATATATTCATGTATGTATGTTTGTTTGTGTACAAATTTAATTTGTAATTTTCATTTTTGCTTCATGTTATCAATCATGCTATATACATTGAACCAAGTCAATGATGAGGAATTCTGCTATTACCATTGTTGATAACCATGTTTATTAAAAACACAATAAAGTTTTGGTAGAAAAAAAAAAAACCCTTGGACCCTAAGAGGATATATTAATTGTTACGAACTCCAATTTCTAATGCTCGTCTAGGGAGGGGTCAGCAACATAAAAATGACACGCAACTCAAGACAAAAATAAGTCTTTTCCCAAAATTTAATGGCAACAAAAATGTATAGAATTAATTTAGCAATATTAACAGAATCTAAATAATTAATTAAACAACCAAACATAAAACATAGATCAACAAAGAATAAAACAAACAGCAACAACAGCAGCATGGCTCCTAAGCAGCGGCTGCACAAGATGCACACAGAATTCTCAAACCTTCATCAGCACAGCAATTCTCAGCGAGTATGGGTCATGCTCGCAACAGAGCAAAAAACAGGAGGATCAGCCAGATACGTGCTGGAAACAAAAAGCCACACAGACGCACATTGAGCGTTCATACTACATACAAATATAGAGTACATCCATTCTCAAACACCTTTTAATTGTTACCATCAGGTCGTTGATATTGTGTTTCCAGATGTGTTTATACCCCAAGCAATTAGGTTTTTAAATTCCTCTTTTGTCAGTAGCAGTTGATGGCTAATAGACTGGATATTTATTTAGAGTAGAGTAGTGTTTTTAAATAATATATTTATATATACTTATATGCCAAATGTGAAATGTCAGAAGTCTCTGTGAGTTGATGCTGCAAATGAAATTTCCCTACGGGGACAAATAAAGATAACTAATTAACCAACTAACATTTAGCTTCCGCTTACAAACCCGACAACATGGAATTAGCCGCAGGTGCAAGGCAGAGTTAGCCTCAAAGAAAAAGAAAAAACAATTAATATCAAGAATAATACTCCCAAACAACAACAAATAATATTAATATTAATAATAATAATAATAATAATAATAATACAGGGTTCATACGATCATAGAAAACCTGGAAAAGTAATTTTGACATGGGGTTTTCCAGGCCTGGAAAAGTTTTGGAAAAATAGAAAAACCCACAAGGTTTTGGAAAAGTCATGGAGATTACATTTACATTTAGTCGTTTAGCAGACAGTTTTGTCCAAAGCAACTTAAGCTGCGGTCAAACTAGAGCTTGTGCTTGCAAAATTCTGTTGTATGGCACTGCGAAAAGGGGTGAGTTTAAACAATACGATTAGGCATAATTAAAAGTAAGCCATTCCTCCATATTTTACATTTTTATTTTAAATAATCTTTTATTGGTCTAACGCAATCACCTTATGGGATTTTGCTGGTAAGAATTCACCAAGAATTCAAACATTATTGTTCTTATAGTGGGTAGTAAAGTGCAAATTTTACTCAAGCTAAAACATATTTTAACATACTATATTCATATTTTATGATAAATATAAGCACAACATGCTGCCCATTTTTTTTCTTTTATTAAACATTTATTCCAAGAAATTAAGGTAAAAGTCTGTGAGTTTGATATTTGGCTTAAAACAGGAACCCTGATTTCACCAGAACTGTCTGGAGTGGCTCGTCAAATACCAACAAATTACCCTGCTCATAGCCCACTGATGCTGGCTTGTTTTTTTCTTCCTCAGCCCTCTTCACCTGGCTGCTCGCAGTGGGATGAAGCAGACGGTGCAGGAGCTGCTCTCTCGTGGGGCCAGCGTTCAAGTGCTAGATGAGAATGGTGCGTCTTCCTGAAACTACTATCTCAGCACGTTTGGCTCACCTGTAGATTGCTGTGTTTGTGCATCTCTCCGTGCCAGTCTTTTCTTTTGTTAGTGGCATAGCTCTTAGTGTCCCTTTGCCAAAGGCAGTGGCTGTATTTCAAAGCTTTGACTGTGTCATGTGTGCCCCCTTACTATGTGTTTGGCTGGCTGCCCGTTGAGCAAGGCACTAATGGAATGCTGCTTTCGTCCATGACCCCTTCACCACTGTCCTTCTGTTCCACTGTCCTGTCCCTCCCTTCACCTCTTTCTGCTTTCCTGTCCCTTTCCCTGTCTCTCTTGCTCTTTGGCTGTCTTTCCCCGCAGGTCTCACCCCTGCTCTGGCTTGCGCTCCCAGCAGGGAAGTGGCTGACTGCCTGGCTCTCATTCTGGCTACCATGATGCCTTTCTGCTCCCCTTGCAGCTCCGGAGCTCCCTCCCCAGGCACCCTGCTGAAATCTTTGCCCCACCAGGCCAAGAGTCCCCAAGGCCCCCGCAGTCCAAAGGATCCCTCCGGCCCCTCCAGTGAGGGCACGACCACTGAAAACGACTCTGACTCAGAGACTTTTTGACCCCGGCTCCTTCTAGAGGCACTCGTCGTAGTTTTCACTGCACATATTGTCATGATGAACTTTACAGAAGTTGTACAGATTTTTAATTAGTCTCTGTAAGAAGAGATTATGACACATGACATGGCACACCTGGTACGCTTCGGTTCAGCCACACTCGTTTGCACAAGAGATTTTTCAAAAGCCATTTTAATCATTTTAACGCAGTACGATTGAGATTACCAAATGTTGACTGACTTGGAGTACGAAGATGCAAAGTGCGGAGCGGTGTGTCTTAATGGGTGGATTTTTGAAAGCACAAACCATGTGGAAACACAAGGTGAGGTTACGCTCATTTTACTGATGATGTCACTTTGGGACCAATTTGGAATCAAGAATTCACATTTTTTGGACCAACAGGGGTATTGGTGCCACTTTTCCTAACTGCATTAAGTATTTATTCGCAAGCAAGGTTAAGGGCTGAAATACATGATGTGGCTAAAACTCAGATTTCTGCCCCATTCAATGAGTTTGAGACAAGTTGCTAAAAGTCAGAAGCAGCCTACAGGCTAATATCTTTAGATTAAGATTTAAGTCTAGTCTGAAGATTATTTATTCGTCTGAAAATTTGTTTTTTAAATAACCGTCAAGCCTAGTTTTGTGTCATCCTCAGTTGATTAGGTTGTGTTCACAGTAGTTTGGTTCTTTTGGTATGTTTGGTCCGCATCAAAAAAGAAACGGTTACATTTAGTCCTGTTTTGCCTAGGATTCGCTAGCATTTTTAAGACCAAACCTAAATAAATAAATATATTTATATATACAAACCAAACAACGGCATGACTTGTTTTTGGTTTGTTTGGATATGTCACCCATGTTATTACTCAATTGAATTATCAGTGGTTATTAGCGGATATAGGCTAGTAGGGGCCTTCTGTGCCTGCTGGTAGGCTCAGAAGGCTGTTATCATCCATCAACATGGTTAATCAGCTATACTAATAGAGAAGACTCCAGATCCAGATCTGTTTTTACATACATACTGTTATGGTTGGGGTAAGGGTGGACATTAATAAAATACAATTAGTGGGAAATTTAATAAATAATATAAATAATTCTCGTTAACTTCTGGAGACGTATGTGATCTATAGCTGATTAACCATGTAGATGAATGATAACAGCCTTTTGAGACTACTAGTAGATGCAGAAGGCTCCTACTGGCCCATAACTTATCAACTGATAACCACTAATAACGGCCATTCAATCAAATAATAACTTTTGAATCGGCTGGATATGTTAATATGTCAGTCAAACTGCACAAGAGTTTGTTTTGAAGCGAACTGAGATCCCCCTTATTTCAGTGGTCTTTGTCCACTTGGATGGTTGCACATCTAGGTTTGGATGGCATCATTCACATATGAACCACTCTAACATATCCAGAGTTTTCTTAAATAAAACCAAACATGCCCAAATTGTGAACACATCCTCTTACAATGTATGATGGCTAGTGTTTTAATATCGGTTTCAGTTTTTGAAGTCATGTATTCCAGCCTTAAGCCAAATTCAAATGCAAGTACTACCCAAGTTAAACCCAGTGTAATGTGATGAGAATACAATGCAAGTACACTAGTTGTGCTTTACACATTGCATTTTCAAATACATATTATAAATATGAAAAAAAAGCATTTTTAGTTTGTAATATTTTTCCAAAAAACAACTCTATTCCTAGGCCTTGATGATCTGATCCTTTTGGAGAATGGTTTGTTCCTTTCAGTCTTAGACACAGTGTTTAATAATACTTCTATTCATGTTGAATTTTAGAATCTAGTGAGAGGATGTGGCATGTTATGTGAATCAGGATGTTCTCAAGTCTGTACTGATATTTATTAACATTTAGAATATAATGGTACTTCAATTGTATGCACTTATTTATAGGAAATGTTCATCCCATAAATTAAAATCCTGTTATTATTTACTCATGTTGCTCAAAATGCTGGAACAGAAGCAGACTTTCTGAAAAGCCCAAATGTGGCTCTTTTCTGTACAAAAACAGTTTATAGTGACCAGGATTCCAAAAATGACAAAGAAATACCTCAAAATAGAAGCACATACTGTAATACAAGTCTCGAGGAGTGTTTTAGAAACTTTGTCTTAGAAAGAGGGAGAAATTTATACAGCAATTCCCCCCTTTCTTTGAAGTCCAGAAATAAATGTAAACTAAATGAAGCATGTTTCATGAAACTAGGAACTATGGAATCTGGTATAATAACAATCAAGTAGTAGGTGCAATGATATTGCACAGTACTTTGCCTAGTTAGCTAGAGACTATTTTCAGATGCTGCATAATAGCATTAGCAATGCTGTAGGCATGGTATAGTAAAAATGAAAGTTTCTTGATTATTACGCTAGTATAAGAGTATAGTTCCTCTCCATATTGACCTAGAAAATAGTGACTTTTCATTTTCTGTCAGTCTTGGTACACAATGTAACTACAAAAAAGCCAACATGCTAATGTTCTAATCTGATTCAATGACTTATGCTAAGCTAAGCTAAGCTAAAACTGCTCCCGCCAGACCTGGAGATCGGCTGAATGCATTAAAAAATGGTAAAACTTGACTGTTTTACTCTTGAGGAGTTGTAAAATGAGACTATTTACAAATAAAGTGGTGTGTTTAAGTAGAGATATTTAGTTTAAACTGACTTGATCTAGAGCAGTCACAGCTCACTGGAGGCAAGTTTGTCAGTGAATAATAACTTCAGTTTTAGTCTGGGCCTCACTATTGGTTTTAAAAGACTTGTTTTGTTGTCCATAAACAAAAGCAAGATGAGACTGAGTAAATAATGACAGTTGGGAGTAAAGTATTCATTAAACACTGAATCCTGAATTGTCTTTTTATTGTTTTCCTTTTGAAGTTTACTTAATTATTTGCACTTGTTGAATGTCAATCCCTTTTCCTTGATTTCTAAACATGCTTTTTGGGGGTTATGGGCAGCGAGGGAGTTTCAATTTGGAGTATATTTGCCTAATGTAAAGACCTTTCAGCCAACATTTAGGCTAAGTCTTGCCAGACAGACTCATTCCAAAGCAAATTTAAGATTAAAATCAAAACCGTTTGTATGTTTGCCTTTGTCTACCATGTGCCAGTTTCTCCACTGTGTCTAGTGCCTTGTTCTGCATTTTCAGAAGGTGTTAGATTACATCAATGTGTTTTTGTGTATTAGAGTGTAATGAAAGAGTTCACACCTGTAAACCAATGTTTTCTTTTTTTAACCATGTCCTGATGCTTGTGCCTATGAGAGTGTGATTTACAATAGAAAATAATCTTTGTACATATCGACTCATGTACATCATCATCATCACCACCACCAGAGCAAATATTGCACACAACTGTCCTATAACAAAAGCACATGGTTTTCTTTTATGAATTAGATGGATCGTGAGTGGAAGAATGCAGAGAAAAAAGCCCAACAGTATTACAACAGAAAATAAAAGCTTTGAGAGTGACAATCTTCTAGATCATGCGGTTTTCTCCATTCTGATGTTCGAGGTTCTTTGTCAAATTTCTTTTATATAAATTGTATGAATATTATATAAAATGCTTTAACAGAATTTAACGGAGTCTGTATTATTTTGTCAATTTGAAAATCCATTTATGAAAACTGCCTGTCCCGTTGGGAAACATTTAATGGTATTTTATGGAGATCAGTTTCACTGACAGACACAAACACAATCTAAACTGTTAAAGGAATTCAATACAAATGTCAGATAATAAAATTACTTTCTCAGGAGAAATGAATCTAATTCAATATTTTTATTAATAAAATAAAAAAGGCATATGCTTAGAGGTAATGGGGGACTATGATGGTGAACAATATTTACAATAAAGGAAAAATCACTAAATGTCGCAACGCAGCAAACATCAACTGTAAGCGGAACCGCAGGGAAAAAGGGGTGGTGGGGTGTGGTCGACTTTGAGCGCGAATGTGCAATAATTAAATTTGAAACTATAAAGTGCCACTGATCAATTGACGAAAAGGAGTTTTTGATATTTTTACAGAAAACGGTCAAAATGTTTATACAAAATGTAAAATGATGGTGGACCAAAAATGGACGCACCCCCTTGCTCATACAGTACATGGCACTGGCGCCATGTTGGCAGTTGCTTTTTGGCCTTTAGTTTGACAAGACTCTAACCGCAAAGCGTTTTTAAACAGTTTTTTTATTACGGTCACCATACTCACCCTTTCCTAAGGTCTTCGACAGCTTGGGACTTCTGCAAGCTGCACTATCATCTCGTTCATCAGCGACAATGAGGTATATCTTTGGTAATTGTTTGTCGCTCTAATCGTTTGCACTGTTTGTCACCGCCTTTAAGTTAATTAAAACAACTCAGTACAGGCTGTCTACAAACCAAATGACAAAAAATGACCTGTTCTACAATTTAATAATTTTTTAAAACATGAAATGTATGACTTTATTACATTAAATGGGGTCTTTATACAAGAATATATATGTGCGTCCCTATTAGCACATTTGTGCATTATTTTATTCAATTCAAGTAACGTTAGGCTGTGAACTCAGTGTGCGAATAACAGGGGGGTTTGGGGGGATTGACCACCACCCCCTCCCCCCAATTAATGTTTGATCCCATAGATATGGTTTGAGCCTCCCTTAAGGCCATCAAAACAAGATGGGGGGTCAGCCCTTTAATAGAAAGAAAGAAATAGCTTCTCTGATTTATATCTTAAATATTAATAACTAAAAATGTATATTATAAATATGGTAGCATGGTAGCGCAGTGGGTAGCACTAGTTCGAGCTCCGGCTGGGTCAGTTGGCATTTCTGTGTGTTTGCATGGTCTCCCCGTGTTTGCGTGGTGTTCCGGTTACCCCCACAAGTCCAAAGACATAGTATAGGTCAATTGGGTTGGCTAAATTGTCTGTAGTGTATGTGTGTAATTGGGTGTGTATAGATGTTTACCAGTGATGGGTTGCAGCTGGATAAGTTGGCGGTTCATTCCGCTGTGGCGATCTCAGATTAATAAAAGGACTAAGCCAAAAAAAAAAATGAATGAATGAATAATATAAATTTACATTGGCCTATAACGGTCCACTGTGAATGCATAATCGCGATTATCAATGCTAGAAAAAATATCGTTCAACAGTCTGAAACTGGAGGTTCTAGAGCACCAATAGACATAACACATTTCTTGTAAAATAGATGTTTGTATCTGCATCTCCATTTACCCCTATCATCAATGTATTATTTGCACACCGTATAAAATGCATTTAGAAACTTTACATTTACCTAAAGCAAGTATTGAAAGTGTGCTTGATTGTTTGTTTTTCTCATACTTTGATACATTGACATATATCATTTGCTCAGGTAGATTTTGGACATTATAAATGATTAAATATTGTATTCACAAAAAAGAAAAAGTGCACTTAAAATTCCAGGATGATGCACTTAATTGCATGAAGGAGGTGGTGGGCTTTTCAGTCCCCAATGATGATTGACAAAACCTAGTACAGAAGACAGTTGAGTGTTTATTGAAAAAAAATATATAGTGCCTAATTTAGGGAATGAATTACTTATTTTAGGATGGGGATCCCTTGCATGAGAATGCATCTCATTGACATCTAAAAGGCTGAAAAATCTCCAGTGTTTTGTGTGTGTGTGTGTGTGTGTGCTCACACCAGCATAGAAAAAAATCAAAACCGATCAGGCATTATATCTCGAATGACTTAACCTTTGACCAATATTAATAACCTTTAATTACATATCTCTGTACAGTTATAAACTTTTACATCATCCACAGTTAATAGGTTATAAACAAACACTACTGCATATCACGGTTCTAAAGGTTATGCCATTTCAGTTCAGTCTCTTCAGCAGGTTTTCTGGAACAGGGTCTTGGCACATCAGTTTTGGTCAGTTTGTACACAGCATAAAAAGAGGGGTTCAGTTTTTCCAGCTGCAGATATTGTAGCAGATAACGAAGGGTTCATTATTCTTTCTTTTAAATCTCTGAGTTCATGAGAGAGCAGCATATCCCTTTCCAAAAGTAACATTCCCTTCTTTACACCCATCAGCAGTTGAGCCCAAGTCCACTCCAGTGATCAGGGACCATAAGGAAGTATTTATCCATGGCCTCACAGAAACGTGTTCGATACAGCTCTGGTGACACCACTGTGGGCATTTTACCTGTCAGGAAGGAAAGATGATGACACATGAGTTTAAAGAATTAGTAAAATGTCTGAGAATATCATAAGTATTGATGACACAACAGTACCTTGACCTCCAAGAATCCCAGTAGATTTGACCACCATCTCCAGCTTTTTATCCCAAGTGAAAGTCCGGATATAATCTTCAAAACATACAAGAGTTTTAACAACTACTAAAAGTCCAAAGTGAATTTTAAAATGACCTAATAATTTCTCACCTATGATCCCCACAACTAGCTCATCTGTGGAATCGTCTCGGCCCACCAGCAGGGAGTAATCAATGATGAGGTGGCTGGACAGGAAGAGCGCGTCGCTGTGGATGGCAGCACGCAGGATGGCCTTGCAGTGCGAGCGAATATAAAGGGGATTGTCATGCACCAGTTTGAGCAGGTTCTCATCTAGGAGCACCACCTCACAGCTCTCCTTTCCCTGGTCCGTCTTCACGTTCCTGTTTCTCAGCGATCCTTTCAGGTCAAACACCTGCACAAACACCAGATAACATTGTAAGCATACAAAGACCCAATTTGTCAATGGGTTTTTCTGAAACACCAGTTCTAAGCTCCAGTACCTGTGCCATCTTTCGTCCATAGAAAAGGTTTTCCATCACAAGCAGGTCAAGCTTCTTCTCAGTGTTGTTCTGGGAGTTCTTGTAGCCGATGCGGTACACTCCCAGAATCTTAGCAAGTGCTGTGGGTCGCTGTTGCACAGATGCAAGAACATGTTGCCTTATACAAAGGTATAGCAAAGCAATTCCTATATATAACTATGGAGCAAATTAGGAAATTACAATTGTGTTGTCTTATGCAGAGTTCACCCTACCATTTTTAATTATGTCAGATCATTGTTGTTTTTACACTGTATGACTCTCTAGGGCAGGTGTACCCAAACTCCGTCCTGGAGGGCCGCTGTCCTACATAGTTTAGCTCAAACTTGCTTCAACACATCTGCCTGATTGTTTCTAGGATACCTAGATAGCTTGATAAGCTGCTTCAGGTGTGTTTAATTGAGGCTGGAACTAAGGCCTCCAAATGTGGGAATAAATCAGATATATAATCGGATATGTGACAATGCGACTATCTTATAGGCAGATCAGATTTATTAAGCCATTCCATTTTGTATGTCATTAAACTTGTGGTACTTGTAGACAATGTGGTACTTATCCGCGGTTTAATGACGTAGAAGGAAGAGCGTGTGTGTGCTCATCCTAAAATTTGGGAACCACTGCTTCTCATTAAAGCCCGCCACAATTTGCTCCCACCAGACCTGAGATCTCTCTCGTACCCACAAATTGCTCTGAATGGGCCCTCCAGGACTGAGTTTGGACATCCCTTGTGTAAACAGACAGGCAAAACAATCAGATATGGGCAGAAATCGGAACTGGGCATCAAAACCGGACAGTGTAAACGTGGCCTAAGATATGCAGGACACAGGCCCTCCAGGACCGAGTTTGGATACCCCTGGTGTAAACGGACACGCAAAAAATCAGATATAGGCAGAAATCAGAATTGAGCATTTAGACCTGACAATGTAAATGTGGCCTAAGATATGCAGGACCACAGGCCTCCAGGAGCGAGTTTGGGCACCCCTACTCTAGAGGAAGCATTCAGTTGCTGCTTTGCTCACACTGCATGATGGATCAATGACAGGAACATACTCACTGCATGACTACAATAGAAACAATCACAGACGCATGTGATGAGGAAATAACTCAAGATCATTCGCGAGACTGAAAATGGTAGCCTGCATAGGTTTGCTATTCAAATGCTCTGTGCACTGATTTAAAGTGAAATGGCAAAAAAATGATAGAGGAAATTGTTAGGGAGTTGCAGGGAACTAGGATAAATTATTTTGCTATGCACTTGCTGCAGCTGGCTGAGCAAATGTTTCTGCTTCATTTTTGTTTGATATTATATGTAATAATATTTTAAAGCTCATTTATTCTGAGAATGTGGTCTTTAACTCCTCCCTGAACTCCCAGCTGCCATATCTTGCTCTCTTATTGGCTGTAGATCTTTACCGATGTATTTCCATTTGGAATTAATTTCACACAACATAATTTGAATTAATCCAATTTGAAAAGTGCAGATATTTAGCATGCCAAATATTTCATGTGGGTTGGTGACACGTCGACAGATTGCTTCTTTGATAATTCGCACTGCGTGATTATCACATGAATGACCATCAATTTGCCTCAGATTCCAGGCATTTATTTGCGATTTCACAAACTTTATTGATAGTGAAATTCAGGGCTAAACTCATGCAACATGAACCCAGTATAAAAGACTTTACTAGGTTTACTAGGTATATGTTAAGAGTAAAAGGTTAATATTCATTTTTTTCTACAAAGGTCTGACGACATTTCTTTCAAATTTCAGACAAAAATAC